CGAACGTCGTCGCCACGGGCCAGTCAAAGACGCGGTTTTGGCTCACCGCAAACGCGAAGTGTGGAACACTCAAAAAACGCAAACTCCCAGTGTGTGCGTTTGCTCGTATCCGCAATACCAACACTCAAAATCTCATTGGCTGTAGTGCGATAATGAAATGCCTCGAGGTCGTCACGCCTAGCGTTTTTTTTCTTAACCGTCAAGCATTATAATAAGGGAGAGTACGATTCGCGTGTGCCACGCCTTCTTTCTTCGGAATACAAAAATAAAAAAAAGAATGTTTGCTTTAAGAAGCAAGGAAAGAAATAGTTTCGACTTTAACGTTGTCTTTTGGCACGTGTGCCCGCGTTTGTACTTTTATGACATCATTAAGTCGCACCACAGTACTCGGCAAGTAATGAACGGCCATCGGACAACTTGGCGTAAGTTCGCTTTTTCTAATCAAGGACGAAGATCGAAATGTCGTCGACGCTCCCGTTGATGAGCCTCGCATAGGAAACAGTAAAGCCTACCGCAAACAGGAAAGACGGAGGGCAAAGGAGACGCCTTTTATCCGCTTTTGTGCGTTATAATATTGACTGGTTACGCAGTTTTGAGTGTTCGGTATTGGCACTATGGGTAGAGACGTGTACTCACTTGACTTGAGCGCTTTTTAAGCATTCAGTTAGAGACACTTGCCGAGCGTAACTTGAAGGAATAGATTGTAAGGGTATGCTAAGGTAGAAATTTTGACATGGTGGTGCTGGACTGTTTACTTACGTACATGCTTCTGATCAGACGGAGATTATTTGTTACGACTGAAAGCACTATTGGAGGTGCACATTATTTTTTTTCCAAGCGTTAACCCATTAACTATAGTATGCGTAGGACTACTGACGAACAAATTGTTCATCTAGTTATCTGAGGTGATTTATTATCGGTCGTAGTTAGAACAGATATCTAAAGGGCATCCGGCAGCCCGAAGGTGGCAGCCAATCTTTTTTTCCTCGTTTAATAAACAAAGTAAAGCAAAAGAAAAACTATAAATTTTTGAGATTTCTATACTTCGTCTCATCCTACGATAGACTAAAGGCCAAAGCCACGGGCCGCCAGGTCCAATCACGTTCCACGCTAAACTATGACACGCTTAGCATTGGTTAGGTTTGGACGAATATTGCTCCGAATTCAAAACCGCTGCGTCAGTTTTATAGCTCCGACACCGCAATGAGCAAGTAAGCTGTGGCTTTCTTTGCAATGTAAAATTGCTGAGTCACTCATTGCTCGATCCGATCCACTGTCGGCCCATTCCCATCAGTCATCCGAGACGTGGGCACCGTACGTGCTTCGAAACAAAATACCACACAATGTCTAAGTGGCTCGTGATTGGATCTGGCGGTTCGTAGCTTCTGCCTTTAGTCCATCGTAGGGTGAGACGAAGTATAGGGGAAAGCAAGAGGGGGATCATAGCAAAGCACAGATAAAGCGTAGTTCTACTATCGACACAAGCAATTTAGATACCTAAAAAATAAGAAATAAAATAAAAAAATGAACTATTTCGGAAAGAATAAATGCCCTGCAAGTGTGTTGCAACATGACACGTCCATGATTTAGCGCCAGTAACCTCCAGGCATTTGCTCTCCAGCTGTGCCTCCCGGTGTCTCCCCTCCAGTACACCCCACTGACTCCACCCCGTCAACTTTCCCCACTATATTCAGCGGGGAAACATAATGTGTGTATACGCCACGTGAGACGAAATCATGTGAGGTCATTTTTCCCGGTAGCGGGGAAACTGAATTGTTGCTGAGATCACGTTGCGTCAATTTTTACATTAAATTTTGTAGATTAACTATATTTAGGTATAGGTCACTTGACGTCAGTTTTCCCGCTAAAAGCAGCGGGGAAACTGAATTTTAATTTAGGTCACGTGGTACTAATTTTCCAGCTAAATGTAGTGGGAAACTGAATAGGCTTTGCGTTCACGTGACGTCAATTTTTTTCCCTAAATCTAGACGGGAAACTGAATTTGTGTATAGGCTGCCTGACACGAAGTCGTGTGCCGTGATTTTTTCCGCTAAAGTTAGCGGGGAAACTGAATTCGTTTTGAGGTCACGTGGCGTCAAATTTCCCGCTAAATCTAGAAGGGAAACTGAAGTCACGTGATGTGAGAAGTTCGAAATTCGAAACGACTAGCCGAAAACGTTTCGCGTTAAAATAAATAAAAACAAAATTTTAGGGAAATAATTTGTTGTAGTGCGGTCTCATTATCCAGACCGAAATTAATCGCGGAGAAAGGAGCGGGAGCATCGAGAAGAGGCTGCGAGCGAAGGAGCGGCAGAAGCGCGGCGTTCACGTAGGTGGCGCGGCCCGACAATGGCGGATCGCAGCTCCACGCAACGCGATGTTCTCCGCCGACTTCCGCTCGGGAGCTCCAAGCAACGCCGCGCACGCGCCGTGGCCAGTCTCCGGGAAAGAGAGGGAAGAACGCGAGGAAGAGCGCCAACCATCGATCCGGACCGCTTCCGCCGGAGGCAAGCGGCCAACCTCGCGCGCACAGCCCCGAAATGTGCGCACGAAGAAAGAAGCGGCCGCAGGCGCGCATGCGCGGATTCCCTTCCATCCCGAATCCCGGGGAAAGGGAGATCCGTCTCCCCCAACCGGCTGCGGGAGGAGGAGGAGGAGGGCAGGCGCGCGCAGGGGTAACGCAGTCGGCGCTTCAGAAATCCTGCAGTGCCGATATGCGACGGTTCAAGACCACCCGTCTGCGGGTGCTGTTCCGGAGGCCCTGCGTCAGACGACCCGACGGACTCTGAAAGGGCAGCTACCCCTCGCATCGGAGCCTCCCCCGGAGTCCGCGTCTTAGGTTCCTCCCTTCTTTTTGTTTGTTTCTCCCTTTTTACTCCCCCCAGGTTTTAGGCCCCCCACCCCGAAAGCCTTCCCGTTTTTTTCTTTTCTCCCCTTGTGTTTTTTTTTTTCTCCCAGGTCGGTTTCTGTTCCGCTTGTTCTCCCCGTCATCTCGGTGCTCCCTTCCGTTGCGGTCCTCCCCCTTCCCCCCCTCTCCCGGCCAGCCAGCGCTCCATCCGTCGCGGGCTCCATCTTCGGGCTCCCGCATCGCTGAGGCCTCGCGAGCTCTCGCTACCGCTTCTGGTGTTCCCTGAGCGGCCTGTGAAACCCCGTCGCCGGTGCTCGGAAACCTAACCCTCCTTGGTTGCGTTACAGGTTTGTGTTCCGACCCCGTCTTCTGTTCGGTTCCCCGTGCCATCGTCGTCCTTGTTGTTCCTCCTCTGCACCGTCTCTCTGCCGCCAAATCCCTGAATAGGGTAAGGAAGCTCCCGTTTTTGCATCTTCCGCGTCCCCGTTCCCCCAAAGCCGTCCGCCGCAAATTATTATTAGGTGAGCTCGTCTGCTTGCCGCTGCAGCGCTCGGTGCGCTTCCTTCATCCCATTTTCTCGTTTTGTATTCTGTTTTCCCTTCCTCCGCCGCATCTGTATCCCTCTTCTTTTTCCCGAATTGCCTTCCCCAATTCCCGCTTCGTTCGCTCTTCTTCCTAATTTGTGAGGACTCTATCGCCAGCCCCGGCTCCCGCGGTACGATCGTTCCCCTCCGTTGTTGCTGGGTCTTTTTTTTTCTTCCGGCAAACGAAAGTTCGCAAAACCTGAGCTACCGTATCAGGATTCGTGACTCAGGGGAGGTTCGCTCAGAAAGAAACAAGTCCGCGATCGAAGCATCCGTGAACGGACGTCGCAGAACGCCCCGGCGTTCGTACCACGACCCGCAACGACCGGGAAGCGGCACGACGACGACGACGAAGCGTGAGGACACCGCCTTCCGCGATCGCCCGACGGAGCCGACCTGAAAGAAGAGAACAAACCGCGACAGACCCAGGAGGACGCGCCGCACGTGCAGGAACTTCATCCGGGACACTGCGTCCGCCGCCGTGCTCACGTGATTCGGGTGGCACCGGCGTGACCAGCAGACGACGAAGCGGCCTCGTCCGTCCTGTGGGCCCCTGCTCGCCGCGACCACGACGCAAGACGCGCAAGAAGACGACAGCGGTGACGACGACACTGCGAGATCCGATGGAAGGTAGCGACGTGCCCCGTACGCACTCGGCGTGAGCGCGTCCGCCCTCACGCCACCCGCCGTACCTCTCTGACTCTCGCGTGGGGTGGCAGCCGGGTTCTCGTGCGCTGAGGACTGCTCCGCGCCTCTTCGCCTCCGTGAGTGCTTGACTGCTTCCTTCCGCGAGGAACCGCGCCGCTTCTCCCAACACCTTCGAACAGATAAAGAGCGGGGTTCACTTGGTTCCCTGGGGGGGAGTGGTGAGCTTCGTTTTCATCATCCAGGGGGAACTTGACGCACGCTCGTACTCTTCCCACCCCGCTGGACGCCTTCTTGGAGCCGACGACACCGCCATTTTCCTCGAAACGCTCCGAACAAAACAAAACTCGCACACGACGCACACCGTCTTCCTGTCGAGGGCCAACAACGCAACTAAAGAAAGAGAAAGAAGGCAACTCAAACAAAGGGTAGACCGCAGGTTAGCAGAAAGAAAGCATTCCCCTGTATACTTTAGTTCCGGGTGCGAGACCGTGAAGAGGGGAAAGGTTCCAGCGAGCCGACTGTTCTCCAAAGCATCGACTGGCCGGAGCCGCTTCGTAGTCACAGAACCCCGCACGGCTGACGCACTGCCATCTTTGAGTCTTCGTCGTTGATTCTCTTCCGTTTTCAGGGTTCTTTGGAACCCGCCAGTTCAAGTGCACCGTCTTTGTTGTCCTCCCCGAAGAAGAGGACTTCGGCGTGGCAGCGGACCGTTCAGCCAGCCAACCGAGGTCCCTTCTTCCCTACTGTCTGAAAAAAAAAAAAACACACACCCACCTCCATTTCATCCTCACCGTTTTCTCGAAGAATTCTGGTCGTTACACTCACTGGCTTTCGTGCTTGCGAAACCGTGCTGCATTTCTAATAAAAAAATCAAGCCGCGCAACTCGCAAGAAGAGAGAAGCCACAAACAACCACCGCAGATGTTTACGTCCAGCCCGGTCGCTGAAGGTGTCTTGATTGCCAATCCTCCAAACCGCACGCTGAGCAGCAGCGGCTTCACCGTCTCTGGCAGATAGGCGCACCCAACAAAAACCAAACTTGCGCAAGCCGCACGCGAGGGACCTTCCAACTTGAGCACACGCGCCTTTTTCGGAGAAGAGCAGCATTTCTTGCACACAGCCAAGTTGCACGCAGAGGAGCTGACGGTTTGAAGAGAGAGAGAGAGAAAGAAAATACAAGACAAAAGCGATGGCGTTCAGTTGCTGGTCCTTCGTACTCTTCGTGGCCATTGCTATCGCCTTTGGACCCCGGGATTCGTCAACCGCCCTCCAGCCGGGGTGAGTTCCAGCATTTTGTTTCCTTCTGTATTTGTTGATTCACTTATACTACATTTCCCGGTGAAGATTTGGTACGAATGGAGAAATTATCAGTACAGACAAGTTGCATTAACAATAACAGTGTCAGCAATCAGAACATAATGTATGCATAAAATCAGTTTCGGCACGAGCTCAATATACAGTTTTAGAAACACTGGTCACGCCACTTCCCACTCTAAGTTGGCTTCCCCAATCGAGAGAGGTCTGTGCGAAACCGGGGTTGCATAAATAATGTTCACCCTAATAAGTACAAGAAATATCTGCATGCAACCTTCACTCACCAACGTGTCTGATTCGATCATTGTATCGTGTCAATAATTAAACTTCACTGGATGAAATATCCAACTAGTATCATGAATTTTGTTCTTATGTAGTGTTTCTGTGAGTGCGCTTATATAAGTGACGCACTCCGACGCCATGGGACAGTATGGGTAATCATTGAGAACAGCAAGGCTCCTGCTTACATTTTGCTTTACTGTGAAACATAAAACTTGCTGGTATTTAATTTGTTCGTGCTGCTCTGCTGTACTTGCTTTCAGCTTAAGTCCAGACACAGCCGATGCTGCGAGCTAATGAGACCGAGCAAACACCTCCAAAAGCGCATGTCACTAGGCCTTTTCTGTTATGATTTATTCAGTGATTATAGAGCACGCACAGAAACAGGACGAACACCATGAGTATGCGCTCTTGGAGTTGTGTGAATGGACCCACCAGCTCGTTGCGTTGGCTGCGTCTGGACTTAAACTGCGAAATTAAGTACAGTATAGTATTTTTCAGTGCTCATGACGTAGCACTGTGCCACCTTCGGGTCAGTGCATTTAGTGCGACGGCTACCAAATGGGCCTATAGTGGCGCACGCAAAATAAAGGAAAAAACTGACTTTGGCATTGGAAGCAATTCGATGTCATCGTATTAAAAGCAAATATTTTTTTTCTCTAATTTTTAAGCACAGGATGTGCAACTACGTTCCTCTAAAGGATAGTTCCTTTCAATAAAAAAAATATTGATTGGCGGTGCACTCTTTACAGGAGTGGGTTCGTATTCCAGGACAGTTACCTCAACGGTCCCTAAAGTTGGCTTTCCCTCGAGTCGTTAATCAGTGGCGGTTCGCCCTATCTATGAAATGATCAGGAATCCAGGAGCAGTAACCACAAAGCTCCCTAAAATTGGCGTTTCTTCTACCAGATCACGTCATCATAGATGGTGCACTCTCAACAGAAGACAAGAATACCAAGAAACTAACTAGAAAACTTCCTAAATTTTTCTTTCGCACTATCAGTGATGTCGGTGGCGGTGGGCTCTTAACAGAAGTAAATCAGAAATGCCAAAAGAGTAACCCGACAGCACCCTAAAGCTGGCTTTTCCTCTATTAGCTTCTTTTAGCGGTGGTGCACGCTTTACAGGAAGTTGTCAGGCATCCCTCTGCAGGAATCACAACACTTCCTTACGCAAACTTTCCTCAGTCACATAAGGTGTGTGGCTGCGCATCGTTTAAAAAAGTATGTCATAATTTTTCTTAAAGTAACCGCATTGCTTTTAACATTGCCGGCCCTTTATCAATTTCTGTTGGTGCCAGTGCACCCTTTGCAGGACTTTGCAACGATTTCCAAAAAATCACCCCCAACACTTCCTAAAGCTGGCTTCCCCCCTATTCCATGATGCCGGTGGCGGAGCACGCTTTGCAGGCGTTGGTCGAGATTCTCAGGAAAATAACACTTTGTAAAGTTGGCTTTTCCTTGTAAGAAAACGGCTGTAGCTGTGCACCATTTAGGTGAGTTGTCAGGAATATGAAACAAGTAGCCAAAACGCTCCCTAAAACTTGATTTCTCTTTCTAAGACGGAGTCGGTGGCAATGCATCCTTCACAGGGCACGAATGTTACGCTGCTTTAAACACCTACTTCTTGCACACAATTCTTGCGAACTCATTATCGTTTGATTTCTTTTTTATTCTTAGTTTACCGCAGTCTCAACGTTGTCGTTATGGGTTCTTCACCAGTCGCTTTCCTTGTGTTTTTCGTTGAAGTGAGAAGCTATTTTCATCTTATCTTTAATTTCTGGATTCTTTCAATGATTAATTCATCGAGACTTACGGCCCATATTTGGAAAGCATTTTCTTAGGAGGCAAAGTTAAAGAAACAAAGCTCAACAAAATCGATGGCAAAGAGAAACTAAAATAAGGCAGACACTACTCTGAGTGCACTTTGGAGTCAAAGGGTAGCAAACAATAAGCGTTACTCGAATTTGTCATGGCAAAACAGTAAATACTGAGTTTATGTAAACATCACTGTCAGTGATAAATTTTATCCGGTAGATTGCTTCAGCATGTTAGTGCGACAGGAGTGGCGTTCATTTTTTTATGAAGAGTTCAGGCGACCAGCAACAACGTGCGGAAGCATAAAAACGTGAGCTTCTCACGATGGCGTGACTGTTAGCATCTACGACGTATCCAGGAACCCATCGTGCGCACTGGACGTGAATTAGATCTCTGTTTATTATCTTAGCATAGACTCTCGAAGTTTCATTGTACTAGAAAAAAAAAAGTACTGGACTGCCTAGAGTTGAAGTCAGTCAAGCTGAGTCATTGAGTAATTTTTAAGGGGATTTCAGGTTGCAGCGCTGCATCGTAATTCCGGTCAAATAAATATTTTGCCAGTTTACTAAGCATTATAGAAGTTATCCTCAGGCGACATCCGATATTGACAATAAATTTATGTGCATTCTAAAAATTAACTTATTATGATTGTTTCATCTCTTATCAAACTTTTTGGAGGATACCTTGATATTTACACCACCAAACTTAGGAAACTGATCCGATCACCTGTGCGTACTTAAAGGGGGAAGAAGGCCTTTTTTATACAAGTAATTAATTTGCACTTTATTATTTGTTAACTTTAGCCAGTCACTACCACCATTCTGAAAGCCGAACTATACCCTTCAAGGAGTGTTTGGTTGATGCAGTAATTTATTTCGCAGCACATTATGCACTGGCCTGCCAAAACACGTATGTAAAAAATAAATCAGTTCGGCAGATCAATATAAAAAAAATATCCTTAGGCCTTTAAAACATAGGACGTGACTCTAGATAAACCCGTTTCAGGAACATTTATACTGCTACTGCACATTCAAACTAAGACCAGTGTGTACACACCTTAAGTTTTGAAAATCTGCAAAGTTAGAGAAAGTTGAAGTTAGTTGAAGGGGAAAAACACGCTTCAATACTTTGTAAGAATCTCGAAGTATTCTGTCAGGTTTCTACGTGATTAAAGGTTGTAATGACGATCATGAATGAAATTGAAAAGGCTTTTTTGACAATAATACCTTTGGTACACTTTGTCTTTGTGTTCATACAAATATTTATCACAATCCATATTCAGTATTCCAAGAAAGTGAGTCCGTAAGTTCAAGATGTTTGCGTCAAACCAAATGTAATACAATGGGACAATCATTTAAAAATTAAGTAATAATCATTATTTTCTTGGCCTTAAAATCTTGTTTACCAATTAGAGGACAACATTTGTACACCAAGGGATTAAATGAAAGTTGCAAAGTAGAACTGGAATATTTTCATTTTTTTAATTCTTTGATTTTGTTAGTTGCGGCCGACCTGAAAAGCTGCTTGGTTAGAAAGAAAACTGCAGCAGATGAAACATCCCTGAGCGACGTACACTTGTAATGAACAGATAGTAGCCTAATCATATATCAAGAGTTTTCGTGTTGAAGATGGAAGCAAACGAAACACTCATTACCTCCGACCACACCTTCTCATCGACTGGCTCTCGTAGATCAATTAAAGAATGTAACTGCTGAATATTATGAGAAAGTTTAAAAAAAATTTAATGAAAAAGTTGGCTGAAATATATTTCTCAGGTCCGTATTCAAATATCCTTTTAATGACTTTATCAGATATTGATAGGTTAGTCAATCTTGCCTTCATTTCTTTATTTTTTATTTTTAGATATTTTTATTTCAAGCGTTAAACCTCGACATCGAATTCATGGAATCCGGTATACCTACTTAGATCGGGTAAAAAAAAAAAGTGTTTTTATTTACCGCCTAGATCTTCCCCACTGTTCTTAAGTTAACATTGAGTTCAATTAAATTCTAAAAAAAAAGAGTTCCGGAGGGTATAATATGAAACCATGTTAGCTTTATTAAAATACCGCAACATTCCATGGGCATTTTGTATACACAGGGGGGCGGGGCTCTCAGGAATATTCGGCAGTAACGTTTTACAAACGGGTGAGTTCGAATGCGTTACTGGTCCCATTCCCACTCCTGGAATGGCGGAATTCCACCATTTCGTTCCTTTAATGCCTACATCTGAGAAAGGGTAATTGACAGCCACATTGTGTTACTAAAAAAAGAAGCATAAAGCTTTTGACGTCATTAAGCGCGTAGACGGAGGCGAAAGTGTGAAAAAGCTTCCTCAAAGCATTCATTTTGCAAAGCCAAAGGGAGGTCGCACAGGCGCTTTATGACACTTGGTGTCACTGCAGACATCGATCGTGCGATTAAGCGTAGAAGGCTTGCTAAACGCAACATACGCTAACAGTTAAAAGCACCCATTTTCTTCGAAATCGGGCAGTATACCCTCAACAGATATATGATTAGCGTGTTGTTAGTTTTTTAAGGCCTCAAAAATGGTCTAGTTTGTTGTGTGTGGCCCAAGAAGAAACTAACTTGCTCTCTACTTTCAATACGTGCAGAACAGCACCGCTAGTGCGCTGTTAGAAACGGCGCCGCGTATACCTGCCCAAAATCTACACGTAGTGCGGGAAGACCAAGCACCGTTGACAAAGAGCAACCAGTATACGGCGCCAGCACAAGGGAGTGCAGCAGCCTATTATAGAACCTGACTTAAAGCGTAAACGTTTACGGTTGCTGTACGATTCTTGCAATTTCTTAACATATTAAGTACAATTTTTTATTCGCGTTCCATGCAAATACTATAGAGGATCGG